GGCCTCCTCCAGAGCAAACACGTGTCCTCCGCACACAGCAGCTCGCTTCAATAGGCGGTGTTGTTGGGAGTGATTGATGCACTGTAGCCTGCATGTTTCTCTCCGTGTGTTTTGTTGTGATTGTGTGGCCGACGCCGCGTGTTTGTCCATTATGGTTTATGTGACGTCTTCATTAGCGCATGTTTGTGTGCGTTTGAGATATAATAGTTTTTTTTCTAATCGGCCACCTGATCAAACAGCTGCTGCTTCCCCTCAACAAACGCCCGCAAAGGCTTTTAGACGCTTTTTAGACGCTTCGGAGAAGCGACACGTTGAGCAAGTAGAGAGCAGACGCTGAAATCATACGTGTGTGTGCTTGGAAATGTAAAATACCTGTTTTCTCGTTTTAATTTGAGTTTTAACGCTGCTGACAATCAGAAGAAATCTTCAGATAAGACATGATTAGATAAGATCAGATTGGATAATGTTTTATTGGTCCTGAAGTGAGGAAATGTTGCAGCAGAAAACATACAGACGTCAGAGAAAAACAATAAAGACAGACAGACAGGATATGTGTGAACAATTTAGCTTGTTTTACAGATTTTCCCTTCCTTTTTAAAATAAATAAATCAATAACACATAATAAAACTACAGAAAATTTTATTTTTTTAAGGCACTTTTTAAGTCACAGTTTTAAATGTTTATTTACATCTTAATTCTTTAAAAAATAAAATATAAAATACTAACAAATCCCCCTCAAACACCCACATAAGAAATCTGTATTTTATAAATGGTATAGTTTATCTTTAAGAGCCTTTAATTATAACATTACAGTTATGTTACTATAGTTATGTAAGCAAAAAATATTGTTTTATATATATAATAACGCATAATAGCGAACAAAATCTCTGAACATTTTCTTTTTTTTGGCCATTTTTTTGATCACAGCTAGTGTTACGAAAAACAAACAAAAACCCCGTAAACGCCCAAATAAGAAATCTGTATTTTACAAAATGGTATTTTTTTATTTATTTATTTATTTATTTTTTAAATTAACAGCATTACAGTTATTGTACTATATTTATACAAGCAAAAAATATTGTTAAATATATATATATGCCACTTTTTACAAATATTAAATTTCTATTTTTAAACAATGTGTGACTTTAAAATGATTAAAATTGTTTGTTTTTACAGACAGTTGTGGTTGTTTTACAGTTTTTGAATGGTACAATATCCCACCATGTCTTTCTGCGGTTTTTCTTGCTTCTAGAGTTTCACTTTTTTTGACAGAATTTTTGTTTACAGTGGACACGACAAGTGCTTCTTCTATATCTAGAAAATCTAGATATCTTCCAAGTGTGCAAAATATTATCCCACATATTAATATTAAATGAAGTCCTATAAATGTGGAGAATATTGATAATAGACTGATTCAGATGCACCAGAGTGAAATCTGTCTGTTTTATGAGTCAGCTTTAGACGATCAAACACTACGGGGCTGGAAATTAAGCACAAACTGGCTGTTTTTGGTCGATCTTTAGATTGAACTGGACCTTGTTGTCCTCGTTTCTATCACATCACTCGCAGTAAATTGACCCACCGGTGCAGTAAATCTCTCCAAAACTCAACGTGTTCACCTCTAAAGGCAAATGGAGGCACTTATAGATGCATGAAGGTTCAGCTTCTCGCCTCTTGTTCAGGAACATATAGCGGCCAAGTGTGTTTGTTCTGTGTGCGCGTATGTGTCGTATTTCAGCGGCCTGTTTGCCAGCTCTCAGGGATAATAGTCGGAGAGAGGCGGCTGCGCTTTTGACCCCGACAGCGCAGCTATAGAGCAAAACCAAACACACCTGTGGGGCCTTTTATACGAGCTCCGAGCACACACTCGTGTAGAAACAGGATATGGTCCAGATAGGAGGCTGGAGTGGCGCTGGAGCCTGTGATGTGGGGGTTTGAAAGCTATTAACGCGCGTCCACCCACAATCCTATCGTTCAGCCATCTGAAAAGAGCTCCTTAAGTGGTTCTTGGACTGCGGAGGAGGAGATATTTTAGAAATAGAGGTTTATTTTAATAAAAACGCGCCACTGAAGCCTTCCTCTTTGGCTTCTTGGTGAATCCCCCCCTTTTGCTCTTTGGACCCCGCCGCTGTCACTCGGTGATTGATGGTCAATAGCTGAAGCTAATCTAATCAGCGCTAACGGGACCCTCGCTGGTAATGAGCACTTGATGACCCTCGCAGCCGAAGAGAGTCACGCTCCCTCCGCCAAGGACGCCTCAGGAATCACACTTTATGACCAGCAGGACTTTTTGCGCTTTTAGGCCTCGACAAAACCCCAAAGACGGGCAGAACGAACTCTAAAGAATGCTGTTCCCCGTCGGATAAGCCGATAGTAAACACAGGTTTGAATTATGAACCTTCAGGTAACAACACAAAGTCTTCGGGCTCAGGAAAGTCCCAAACCGCAGCTGAACCAGGAATGCGGCTTAAGCAGAATTTTATTGTTTGGTTTCTTGTGTTTGTGCTCGCATTGATTCCCAGACATTAATTTCCATCTCGGCCGTGAAAGATGACATTTTTTTTGTGTGTGTGTACATACCGGCCCATTCAGCAGAACTTTTCTCTTTTTTCTTTTTCCTCCTTCTCTTTGTTGATGATTAGCTCACTGTTTGGCAATAGCAGAGAAATGTCAGTGTTTGGGTGGAGCAGGATAAGTGTCGTGTTAGATTTACTCGGCTTGTTATTCCTCTGAATTCCCACTTTACAGGTTCTCTGTCATCATACCTTCTTACCTTTTATACCCTGTAATTATAAAACAGTGAGAAATGCTTTGTCTCCTACGCAGACGGAGGAAGCTTGTGCAAACCGTGCAGATATATCTCGTTAAATAATCCCGGTTTTACTCAAAAAGCACCCTGTTGGCCAATAGGGTTCATGCTAATTGATGCTTTTCCTGTAAAAGTTGACCAAAGAGCACATCGTTGAGGTAAAAAACAAAGAGACGAATCGTTTTCCTCCCTCAAAAACGACTTGCTGATCAGATTCTCTTTTGGAAAAGTCTAACTTATGACGCTGCTTATGTAAAAACAGGAGTCCACTCATGAAAGACTGCTGCAAAAACCATCATGTGACGACGTTTTAGCTGCCGAAGCTTCCTGCTGAGCTCAGTTCGGTATTCAAATTAGATAATTGCTGCTCATGTGTCAGCTTCCTGTGGACGCACGTCTCTCAGCTGGTCAGAAGGTTCAGCTGACGATAAAACGATAGAAGAAGTCAGACATTAAGACTCGCGCCGAGTATCAGCAGCAGCAATAAAACCGTTGATAAAACCGGCCGAGCTCCAGCAGTTCTTCTTCTTCTTTATTTGTTCTCGCCTTTTAAAGTTCCTCAGCGGTTCCAGTGGAGCCCTCCGTGAAATACGTGCTTCACAAAACTTCCCTTTTGCTCCGTTTTTCTGTTAACGTGTAATAATTTAAGAAGAAAAGGCAGTTCGATTATCTGAAAGCACACACTTGTTCTGATAATGATAAATGTGACTGTAAATAAAGGCGTGTCTGTTACGCTGTGTTAGCAGAGCGAGCTGCACACACACGCTTTCTGCAATCGGCTTCACAACTTCGATTAAAAAAAAAAACATATTTTCTGACTGTTGTTGATTCAAGTGAAGGCGTTGAAATCACATGACACGTTTTCTGTAACTCTGCAGCCGCACTGGTTCAGTCTCTGTGAGTTTTTACAGGACGAAAGCTGCTAAAACCTCAACTCATCCACACTGCGACTAAAGAACAGATTCACACCAACAACGTGCAGGACGACACGTTTTCTTAGTGTCTCGGTTAAACGACCGTAAAACAAACCATCAGACTTCAGGGATTCACTTCCTGAAATTATTGTTAATTGATAGAAACGATGACAAAACAAGAGGACAGTTTGTGGTCATGATACTGTGATTTATTTTTTGTGAGTTTTGCTGGTTTAGGAAATAAATCAAAGTTGTTTTTTTCTGGTTTCATCAACATCTGCCATTTAACTGACGTTTACTGACTAGTGCTGCAAGAAAACTGAATCCAGACGACAAACTCAAAATAAATGAAGGCTGAAAATTGACTCGCTGCCTCTTTTCTGCAACTACACACAAGTACAGAAGGTTCATTTTCACCAGAGCTGCTGCTATTAATTGATTAGTTGCCAACTATTTAGGTACTAATCAGTTTTATTAATCTTTCTAAGAAAAAAAATTCTCTCATTCCAGCTTCCAAAATGTGAATATTTTCTGCTATTTTTCCTCCTTTTATGATAGTAAACGGAATACTTTCGGGTTGTGGACAAAACAAGACATCAGAGGATGTCATCTTGGGCTTTGTGCAACAGTAATGGACATTTTTCACCATTTTCTGACATTTTATGGACTAAACAGCTGATAAGTTAATCCAGAAAATCAGCAGGTTAATTTTCGATGAAGATATTTGCGAGTTTCAGCCTTAATTTTCAGAGTAAATTGCGAAAAACTGAAGCAGGGGAATCAATATGAAGTGTTGTGTGCTTAAAGGTTTCATATTTCTTGTGTTTCTAATTCATGCATGTATGCAAAGCAACGACAATCTGTTCTCTATGACTGAGTATCTTTGGGTTATGGACAAAACAAGACATTTGGGGGAGAACGTCTTTGGCTTTGGAAAACACTAATCAACATTTTTCAACATCGTCAGACATTTTATCGACCAAAAACTAATTAATCCAGAAAATAATCAACAGATTACTAGATAGAACCCATTCACTACCTAGAGGCAATCTTGTGTACTCAAAGTTTTTATATTTCTTAGCTCAAAGCGAGTCTGGCTTCTCAAAAATGGGCTTTATTGTTCCATTCTGTGACAATGTGGGTGGTGAAAATGAAAAACAGCCTCTTTGATACCTTAAAGCTGCTGGTAAAGAGTCCATGAACAGAAAAATGAGCACAAAATATAAGCAAGTGTGCATATTTCTAACGCCTTCGTCCTTCCTTTTGCTCTCTTGCAGGGGAGAAACCGTACCGCTGCACATGGGAAAACTGCGACTGGCGTTTCGCCCGATCGGACGAGCTCACCCGACACTACCGGAAGCACACCGGCGCCAAACCCTTCAAGTGCGTCGCCTGCAGCCGCTGCTTCTCGCGCTCGGACCACCTGGCCCTGCACATGAAGCGCCACCAGAACTAACGCGAGCCTCCACGTGCGAACACACACGATAACACTCCAGCAGAGCATCGTCCACACACAGCAGCAGCCGCCAGAACATCACAGCTTTCAAAGGATAAGCAGACGCAAAAATCATCCCCGGCGTTTATTCTGGTGCTGATGAAGCGAGCAGCGAGTGGCGTCAGAGGGGATCATTTTAGTCGGGGGAAATAAATCGAACACAGACAGTGGTGTGTGTGCTGGTGGGAAGCCGGTGAGGGATCACGTGCTTGTCGGTCAGTGTTCAGGAAGTGGGATGTTTTGGTGGCAAAATTTAAGAGATCGTGGTGCAGAGAAGCTAAAGTTTGTCAATAATCTGTACATTAGAAATGTCTGGACATCCGTTTAGTTTCACTCACACTAACCGAACAGAACAAAACTTTTAGAGCCACTCAGAGTTCTCCTTACTGAGATAAAACCTGCTATCAGTCAACGCCGTGTTTGCTGAGGTTTTAACATCACAGCTAATGATCTACTAAAAAAAAAAAAACACTCCGAGATGATTTTGGCGTCTGCTGAAGTGTCTTGATTTAAAACCCACACGTTCACACACACGCTCACTGCAGACATCGCAGTCACCAGAACTGTTCTGTTCAGACTCCTACGATGGATTTGGGACTCCTTCCGATTGAATCCTGGGAAGAAAAAAAAAAACAACAACAAAACAATTTCTTTTCCTACAAATCTGCTGCCGGCTTCACCTCCGTCATCTTTTATCATTCTGAGGCATGAACTTTAAAACGGAGGCGGAGACACCTTCCCCTCCCCCTCCGTCCTGTAAATACCTGTTAATACGTGTGCGTATGTGTGTTCGAGAATTCAACGAATGTATTGAAATTTATACTTGACAGCTTTTTTTTTTTTTTTCTCGTTTGTTTTCATTGAATGTTAATATGAGTAATATTCCATGTTGAAACTTCTCCCCCAGAAAAAAAAAAAGGACTAAAAACACAATCAACAGACGCAATCAGACGCCTCTCCATGGAAAAGTTAATCATCACCCAGTTCTGCCTGTTTCAGCGCAGGTAATACCTGTCGAGCTCGGAGCCACTTGCCAATGTTTGTATCCATGACATTACCGGTTGCCACGGCGACCAAGCCCCTTTGACAGCAGCTCGGGTTTTTTTTTTTCGTGCTCGGTTTCTATTCAGCGCCGTTTCTTTATTAATCTCCTTTTTATTTGTTCAACACTTCGGCTCAAGAAGCACAGAGATGGGTGGGTAGCGCTGTTATGTAATGCGTCCGATCGGTTTAATGCTGAATTACAGTCCTGGTAGCTGGATGAGCGGCGGGTTAACGTTCACGCGATTGCACGACATAAAAAATCAGTCGCAGCTTCTGCATTTTTTATATATTTTTTTAAATTCTGTAATGCAGCAGTTCACAGTTTTGTACACTTGCCCACAACTGGCATTACAAGAAGGGTAAAAAACACGTTGCACAATACAAAAAGCACAATCTGATCTCTTGAACTGTTTATCTGCAGAAACTGTCACCAAGTCATGGATTGAGAACAAAACAAATATTTCTACTGACTGAATATTTAAAGGATTTGTTCCCCCCTGTTTTGTCTGAAAGGCCCAAAGAGTGGAAAGGAACACAGCAGCACATTGTTTCTGTCTCAAAGACACTTATGGTACAGGAAATCTTCTCAGGGTGTAAATATTCGTCCTATTCTGCTGTAACCGCTACCGGTGGCTACGCTATGGACTCTTCCAGCTTCTTCTTGAAATAATAACTTTAAATGTCTTCCAGTGGAGTTTTTATAGTGATTTTACAACGTGTAGTCTAGAAAACTGTTGCAGTGAAACACTTTACATTTGCACACCGACCACTCATTCATTAATTTATTCATTCATTCAACTGAGACACAAACCAGCTGAGTTGAATCTATGACGTTGAGGCTTCGCTCGCACCATCTCCTCTTCAGATTTCACTGTTTTCGTCGCTGCGCTTTGCTGTGAAAATTAAAAATAGCACACGATGTGTTGGCCCAGTGGTGAGATGCATGTTAGGGAAGACGAGTCGGTTAACCAGAACACGTCTACGTGCTCTTCAACCTCACTGAGCAGCTCGTTCAGCTCGCTCATTCACATCTAGCATGCTGCTTCTCCACCAGGGGGAGCTGTGTGGTGATGATCAGACCAGTTCCTGCTGCTGCCTCCTACAGGCAAAGAAAAATAGTAAATAGGAAACTTGTGCCACCTGCAGGCAATGCAGTTTTATTTAAACCTGGTGGGTTTTTTTGGAACGACGAGACAAATCAACTTAAAGATTGAGGCTAGAAATCAACAAATTAATTTTCATGCAGAAGTTGTACCATTCTGCCTGCAGGTGGCTCAGTGAAGCGTTAAAACTCGAACAAACTGCTGAACAAAAAAAAAGTCAACTGCACATGCAATCCCAAACTGCTGCTGCAGCATTTCTTGCCTGTAGGTGGCGCCGCCGGTTAGACGAGAACTGCGGGTCTGAATCTTACTGCCATGAAAACTGGGCGTCTTTGTTCTTTTAAAACCACAAACATTACGAGGACATACTTAAATGTGGCATTTCGCAATCCACAACGGGTGCCAGAACTTTCAGACTGTTGATGGAACACTTTTTTTTTTTTTGTTTGTTTGTTTTAAGCGTTTGATTTTATCGTCGCTGCAACTTGACCCAGTTTGTGCTGCGCTGAAAGCTTCGCTGGCTCTCGGTGGAGGTTGAGGAAAGCGTGACGCATCGATCGGCCCTCGTCTCCCCGATGTGCGTTCATTGAGCGGCAACACATCCTGTTATTATTTCAACTCTATGAAAAGTTTAATCCCAAGGAAGCGAGTTCTCGTGTCTCTCTGGAGGAGGGAACACTGACCACCCACTGTGTACATACCTGTAGTTTCAACAGAAGACTTTGTAAATATTTCTTGTTTTATTTCCTATTATAATATTAATATTGTTTTTTTTAACTAATGGGATTTTAGATCGGTTGTACGCGAGAGCTCGTTTAATTTTGTTTTGATACTTCATGTGTGAGAGAATTATCAGATTGTTTATGTACAAATTAATAAGAACAATGGTTTATTTTTTTTGTTTGTTTTTCTGTTTGTGCGGCAACTATGCTGCAATGAAATAATAAAAAATACTCATAAAACAATAGTGGATTGTTGCCTGCATGTTCTTTTCCATAACTTTGGATTTTGTCTTTCAAAAAAAATATTAAAAGTCGTATTTGGAGAAACGATTTGAGGGGAAAAATAGGTGAAGAGTTGTTCAGCTCAAACTGAGATTTCTGCCAATTTGATGCTGCACTGATCATTATTTTATACTGAAAATCATCTCAAACAACTAAGTGAAAGTTGTCATTTGGGAAATATTCACCTAAAATTCTCACTCAGGTCCCTGCAGCTGTTGGGCTTCTTGATGGCTAATTTGACTTCTTGCAGCTTTACGTTCTTCGAGAGCTCCCAAACGGACTCAGTCTAACTTGACAACCACTTGTGTTAAATAGTCGATTCTTTGACGTAAAGACGTGTGACTGAACCATTCCTACACATTTCATGTTTGGCACTCCCAGTTTCACACTGAATCAAAACATATCGTTGCTTCAGTTGGAGTTCGTGGGTCTTTCACCCACAACAGTCAAAAGTCAGAGATCTGACCAGCAATCAAGTTGCTGATACTTGAGCAACTGAACCAAACTTAACCAGTACAGCTAATATATACAGTCAGGACAGAAGTTCACATACAGCTGTAAACACCACGTACATCAAAGTCGTCTTAAGTTTCCAGTGACTCCTGCAACTCTTAACTTTCCATCATGCATTTTGGTTCTTTCATAGATTTAATGGTCTTCTGGAAATAGAAAACCTGCTGGGTGAAAAACTTTACAAACAGCAGAGCTAATATTTGTTTAAATCTACTTTGTCCAGCTTTACCTCAACAAGCTACCTTTGGTCGTCGTCTACATGTTTCTGGTTGTCTCTTTAGTCCTCTTGACAGAACTGATGCCGTTAAACTAAATTTGTTGCCTTTCTGACACAGATTTGTTTCTTCATCACAGTCTACAGGTTCTTGATGGGGTTTTAAGTCAGGAAGTTGTGGAAATCAGTCTGAAACCTTAGTTGTAGCCAGTTTAGCCATCTCTTTACCATTTATGATGTGTGTTTGGGGTCACTGACTTGTATGAACATCCAGCTGCATCCAAGATTCAACCTTCTGCCTCATGGTTTTAGGTTTTTTTCTGACGAATGAAGCTGTGATCCTCCTTCCTCGTTATTTCATTTACTCCAGTTCCACTGGCACCAAAACAGAGCATGATGCTGCCACCGCCGTGCTTGACAGTAGGTATAGTGTTCTAGGGGTTAAAGGCCTCACCTTCTCTCCTCCAAACACACTTATGGTTATTGTGGTTAAATAACTCAGGTTTCATTTGACCACAGAACTTCTTCCCCTAGAGGACATGTTTCTGACCAGTGGCCCATGTTGATGTAAAACACTGTGGACACTGACAGCTGTGTTCCAGCAGCTTCTGATTCATTCAGAGCTGCTGTTTGGTGATTCCTGGTTGACTCTTGGCCATCCTGACCAATCGTCTGTCAGCAGTAGTTTGTATTTTCTTCCTGATCGTTGTAGTGACACAACCGTACCATGAACTTTATACTGACAAACAATAGTTTGCACAGATGATTTGGGAATTTGTAGCTGCTTTAAAATGGCTCCAAGTGACTCTCCGGAGTTGTTCAAGTCAATGTTTCGCTTTGTCAGATCTTTGCTGAACTCCTCAGACTTTCCTCCTGTAGTGTTTGTGGCAGAGTCTTTTATTAAACGGGCCCTAATTAATTTGGCTCAGAGGAGTCGGCAGCTCTAGTCAATCATGATCACTCACGAGAAGTTAATAGGCAACGCAATTAAGACAATTTGATTAAAACAGTGTTCTACATCACAGAAGCTGGTAGTTGCTATTTGTATATTTTTGATCCAGCAGATCTTGTCATATTTCCAGAAGACCTTTAATAAATATATGAAAGAACCAAATTACTTGATTGTGTTTCAATGATTTCATCCCAGAAAATCCAGAGTTGTAGGAGTCATAACTCAGTCATAACTCAGTCATAACTCAGTCATAACTCTGGACCTCCATGATATACATGCTCTTTACAAATGTTTGTAAACTTTCATTCATGGCTGTGAGACATATCTTGATTTTGAAAACCACATAGGCTCGTCTTCCAAAGATTGGATCGTCTCGCTGAAGTGGGATTTTCGCGTGACGTTGATAAAATCCTGTCTATGGTGAACTAACAGACTGGCAGCTTTTCCATAAACAACACAAACGGTGAGGAAGAAGAGTTCATCGCTCCTCCTCTGCAGACTGGAGATGCCTGTTTGTCGTAGCGTGATGGAAGCTAACGCTGCCGGCGCTGCGTGACACAAAAGAACCTGCTGTTTTGACAGAAAAAAAAAAAGTCAACAATTAAGCAAGAATAAGTCAGAGTATAAAGGCATAAAGGGCTGGAGGGTGGAGTCGCCGCTGCATTTGGCTGGCAGGGAAAGTAATCGTTATGTTTGTGCCAAGACGCTTTCAGTCGGGAGCCACAGAGATTTGCCTCATCATCTGGGACAACGCCCTGAATGTCCTCTGTGTGTGCAAGGGCGTCTGTCTCTTCATTACCTGTTTACATTACGAATCACTGAGAAATGTGAACGCCTGTCAATCTGCAGCACAACGTGTGGACTTCTTTTTAAAAAACTAAAAATAGGTTTCTGTTCTGTGGCTCCATCGGCTAAACGTCGGCGATCCGTCACAGTGTACAGGCTCGACCAGGCGTTGCTCAAGATCTCAGGTTCCCAGAGTTTCAGGAGTTACCAAATGCAAGCTTGCAAAGACACCGAGCTCTTCCTTCCTAGACTTTGTGTTCCTCTGGCTTCATTTCTGGTTGAACAAGAAAATGCACGAGATATATTCCATTATTTGGTGCAACTGCCATGAAATTTTCACATTCGTGGTCCCCGAGAATGAACCCAGTGACCCTCTGACTTTTCCTTCAGCACCACCAGCAGGTCAAGTGTCTAAATTGCTATTTGCATGCCTGACTATTTTTAGTTTTTTTTTGCATGTTTTAGACATTTTTTTAACATGACCAGATGTTCCCAGCGACAGAAGCGTCGCCACCGGCAGGTTCCCCCCGATGACTCACCTGTTTATCTACCATCACTTGCTGTTCCATTAGCTGCTCAGGTACATTTTTCTTTGGCTTCGCTCTCCCGAACATTCACCCGAGGGCCTGGCGAAGCTGGCTGCTCCACTCGCAGCTCATTCCACAGTCGCGGCAGTAAAAAAAACTCCTGTCAAAACTTGTCCAAATGATTCTGCCGTGATGCCTGCAATCCTCTCTGAGAAGTTAAATGTCTCTCAGGGGGGAACAAGGTACCGAAGAACACGCAGGATTAAGT